ATCATGCAAAATCATCATTTCAACAACATACCAAAAGTTATGCAATAAAAGTTTCGTCGATACAAAGATATGCTCATTTTTTTGTAACGGAAATACAAACTGAGCAGAAAAATATCAAAATACAAAATCTTCCAAGAATGACTACTAGTTCTCAACATAATGCTTAGACTAGGAAAGAAAATATAAAGGTTCTTAATCTAGATTTTGGAGACTGCTTGTTAGAAGATGGTACATCTGTTAAACTTCATATACAAAATGAATTAGAGAATTCCAAAAATCATTAGTGATAAAGGTTTATGGTGGAAATGTCCCTTTTCTAGTTATCAATATTGAGCTTAGAAGACAATTAGCTCCTTTTGGTAAATTCAATCTCACAATGCTGGGTATGGATTGGGTTCTTTGGTCGTTCTATGAAAAGACCCGCTAGAATCTGTCTTCTCAAATGGGCCATTATTTTCTTAATGGGCAGATCATTAGGATTGATAGATGGTTGCCAACCTTCTCTCCTACTTCCTTAAAGGATTTGAATGCTCCTATTTGGATTAGGATGCCTAACCTACTCTTATAATATTGGGATGAAATAAATATTTACATAATTGCATCTATGGTCAGAAAACCAAATTTGATTGATGGAAATATGTTTTAGTGGGGAAGAAGGGAATTTGGGAGGATTTGTGTTCACATTAAGTTTGATGCTCAATTGCCTCTTAGAGTTTGGGTGGAGGGAAGCTCTGGGAAATTCTTTTAGAAGATTGAATATGAGAGAATTCCTAATTTCTATTTCAAATGTACCAGGATTGGGCACTTCAAGAAGGATTGCTTGGATAATAAAAAGGAGGTTAATAATGTTTCAAAATTGGTGGAAAGCTTATTAAAGCCAATGGAGGTAGATTGTTCCAAAGCAATTAGTAATTATGTAGTTGATGGGTCCAATGATGATAAAGGAGGTTATGGTCCATGGGTGCACGTTAACTATGGGAAAAGAATAATTAAAAATCTTATTTTTAGGAGGATTAATCCCCGTCCAGTGGAGGCTTCGGTGAGAAAGAATTCAGACATTTTGGAAGCTAATTCTTTAGGAGACAATGCTTGTGAAACTAAGAATTGCATGGGGGAACCTGGCCATGGAGTAGATGAATATTCTCTATCAAAATCTACAGGACAACCTATTCAAGCTATGGGAGGAGAACAATGTGATAATCCTGGATCTAGTTTGGCTTAGGAAATTATAGATAATTCACGGGATTCGAACATCAAAGTTGATATGGAAATCAAAACCTTTGGCACTTCTATTAATGAAAATAAATTCAAAGTTTTAGATGGGTTGGTTGAGGAAGCTACACCTACCTTTCATCTATTTGTATAATGGTTATTCGTACAATACTAGGACACTAAAATTTATATTTATGTATCACAGTGAATGTTCCAATCTACAACAAGATGTTAGAGCATATGGAGTTTTTTAATTGGAATTTATACAAGTTCTCTACAATGCCCAATGAGTGATTGAGTGAAGCTCTGATACCAAATGTTTGAAATATTTTATATAAAAAAAAATAGATAAGCAAGTAATTGGTTATGGAGATTTTGGATGGGAGAATTTTGACTTGTATTACTAGATTTTTGCTGAGTAGTTTTTATCTTGACTTATAACATCATAGCATTACCTTTTTATATTTATGAAAGCTAAATCTAGATACTTCTATGACATACCAATTCTTGACATTTCTTTATTTTTTACAAATATCCTAAATCCTTCTATCAACACTTCTTCTCTCTTTATTATAAATATTATAAAACTTTCTTCATTAGAAAATATTTTATTATGAGTAAAATACTCTAAAAATGTTGAGAAATGAGCATCAAATTTTATTGCATTTAAATAAAGAAAGTATCATGAACATCAATCTAGAAGATAACTCTTAAGATAAACATTACAAGAAAATATAAAAAAATTATAAATAAATTTATGTTAACTCCTAATTCATATTTAACTTTGGAAAAGCATGTGGGATCTTACCTATGCCTTTTCTTTCAAATTGAGCTATACTTTACGTGCTAACAAAAGTTTTTGGGCTAAGTTTATGTTGGCTATGTATTGTGCTGGTAAACATCCTTCTGTTTGTTCTTTCAAACAAGGTGATTCCAATGTTTGGAATAGACTCTGTAAAGTCAAGTGGAAGGTTGAACCACATCTATCTTGGAATCTTGGTCGTGGTGATGTTTTCTTTTGGTAGCATCATTGGTTGGGCCAACATTCTATTGATTCCATAACCAATTCCTTTTCTATTGGGTCGGACAAGGTGAGCGCTTTTATTATTGACAACCATTGGGATTATGATAAACTTATTAATGTCATCCCTGTGCCCATTTATAACCTAATTTTGAATATTCCCCTGAATGTCAATTCTGAAGATCAGCTGTTATGTAACTTATCCAAAGATGGTAAATTTAGGCTCAAGCATGCTTGGAATGTTTTTCGATCCAAGAAGGAGTGTTCCTTTATTTTCTTGCTTATTTGGCACAAAACCATCCCTTCTTATATCTCGGATTTTATTGGAGACTCTTGCATAAGTTCCTCCCTACTGAGGATAATTTTCAAAACAGAGGGTTTATTTTTCCTTTTAAATGTCAGTGTTACCATGTGGAGAATATGCATCATATTTATTTGTTTGGCCTTGTTACTGTTAAAACTTAGATTTTCTTTGATGATGTCTTTAAGCTCAATTGTTTTTATACTATTATTTCCATTTTTTCTATTTTGGGGTCTTGGTTTGTTAGAACTAAAGGGCATATTAGGAATCTGATTCCTTCTTTGGTTATCTAGTTTTTATGGTTTGAAAGGAACAATTCTTATTTTAATGGTGTGGGTATGAATCATAATAGAGTTATTAATAATGTGAAAGATAAAATCATGAAGCTAATCTCTATCAATTTTCTTTCGGTTAAAAATTTTAAGCATTTTTCCTTTGTGGCTGATGTTCTTGGCGTTAGGCTTGATGACCTTCGTCATTCGGCTAGCTCTAGATTTGTTTATTGGATTAAGCCTCCCACTAATTCCTTCAAGCTGAATGTGAAGGGCATTTCTAATGACAATGCTGTTGGTTGTGGCCTAATCCTTAGAGATTACCTTGGGCATACTATTATTGTGTTTGCTGGCCCATTATAAGACTAGTGCTGAGCTTTATGGCATTCTATATGGCATTAAACTTTATATTTCTCTGCAAATTTCCACTTTCATCATTGAGGTTGACTCCCTTTACAACATTCAGTTTTTTAATGGTTTGGTTGAGACGGAGAGTAATGTGAATCTCTCCAGTTTGGTTAGGGAGATAAAACACTTATTGAATTTAACTAGTGCTACCATATCTCATGTTTATAGGGAGGCTAATTTTTGTGCTTTTTGGATGGCTAACTCGGGTTGCAATATGTCTCAATTTAGGGATTACTGTGCTAATAACCTTCATGTGCAATTAAGAGGTATTTTTTTCAGGATGCATGGGATTGATACTCCATATATTAGAAATTAATGTGGTTCTTTTGTTTATGTTGTTAGCCTTTATTTTTTTCGGCTCTCGTCCTGCTAAGTCTGGTGGTTTTCCTTTTTTGGCTTCTGCTAGTTATATATTTTGGTAGCTGGTTCAGGTTTTTGTGCGGTCATGGATCTATTGGCTTCCCTTTGCCGTAGAGTGGCTTCTTTTTTTGGTCTTATTTTTCAGGTGGATGGGGGCCTTGTTGTTGTGTTTCTGCTTGGGTCTTTGCTCTGTTTTGGGGAGATTATTCTCTGCTATGGTTGTTTGGATAGCTCGGTTGTTTGGCCCAGTTTGATATTTGTTATTGGTTTTATTGAATACTTTTTAACCCGCTGTACCTTTTTGGTGTGCTGGTGGATTTATCTTATTCCTGCTTCCCTTTCCAATTTTTTTTAGGATCTTATATGTCTTTGTTGGTGCTAGTGAAACAAGGAATCTAGCTTATGGTCACATTTGGACTTATATTTTAGATGTTAATATGGCTGGTAACCATCTCTGGCCTTTTATGGGCAATGCTTTCCTGGTGTATACGGTGGATACTGGGTTGCAGTACTGGTTTGATCTCTTTATTTGGTATCATGACAGTTATTTCACTCTTTTGTATAAGTTCTTTTCAGTGCTTGTATTACTGCTGTTTATTAGCTGGAGTTGGAGCTGGATTGGAGCTTTTTGTGGTCTTCTTCTTTTTTGGGTGCTCATTCTTGTGCATCGTGGAATGTATCTAGCTTTCTGTGTACTTTTGCTTAGATGGGAGCTCAAGCTTTTAGGTTTTCTTTTTTCCTTTGAATTTTGTAGCTCTTATGAGCATTAGCAAGCTTGAGTTCCCTTTAAGGACTTTGTACTTTTTGCCCTTAATTAACGCGTAGGCCCCTCTATCTCTCTCTCTCTATATATATATAACTTTGGACTTAGTTGTGACTAAAGTTTGGAATGTTTTTTGGGCCTAAATTGGGAGACATGTATTGCATCGATCATGGCAATATTAAAAGATTTGAATGATGTTTTGAAGCTAGTTTGGAAGAAATATATGACATTTAGGGCCTATTTGAGATAAATTTATTATTAATTTACTTTAAAAGTCATTGCTGCATTTTTATACTGCTATTAACTTTTTCTTACCTTTTTTAATTACGAAGAGTTTTTTATAATCAAGTATTTTAAAAATGCGACAGTTATAAATAATTATTTGAGGCAACGGCAGCTATCTCATACGAATTCTATACTTATCTGATAAAATGAAATTTTTTTTAGGTAGCCATCATAAAAACCAACCTTAATTAGTTTTGATTAACTAAAGCAAATGATGAACAAATTGTCGAATCACTAAAGAGAAATTCGATGGATAATGTAAGGAGCTTTTCAAGAAAGCCATAAAGAATATATTCAAAGTGGTGTTATTTTTGTTTGTGGATGCCTATCATGGACTATATGACCACTCCATCCTCCTTTTTGCGATTCCTCATTAAACCATCGTCTACTTTGCCATTATAATCTCTTCGTTTCATCCACCACTTTTGCATGAGATGAAGCATGTAAGCCCTTGCGCCTGATCAGTGAAATAGAAGAAGCAAGAGGGAGAGAGAGAGAGAGAGAGAGAGAGAGATGGGTTGCTATCCTCTTGGCAAGATGGTTTCCAAGGCTTTTGGGAAATGCAGTGGTAATGGATTATTTTGTTTCTATTCTTCTCGTTTGATTATTTGAAATTTCCTCTCCAGTAACAGCTTATTAATGAATCCAAATTATATCTTTACTTCACCAATAAAAAAAAATCCAGACTACGTATCAGTATTTAGGTTAAATACTGGCCGGTGGGTTGGACGATCATTGTCATGCATCTCTGGGTCCATCGTATATTTCAAGGTTTTAAATAAATTTAAAATTAGTTAATTCTATTATTTGATTAGATGTACTTCAATTTTTAAAACTCTCGAAATTTTATAATAAAATTATTAGCGTCTAAATTAACTGAATTTTCGACATGTCTGCATTATTTATGGTTGTTGATAAATTTAGACGACGAGATGATTGAAAAAATCCACTTAGACGAGCTCTCAGCATGTTCTAATTATTAAACTGCAACTTTTTTCTCTTTTCATATAATATAAAAATAAATTCTCTCTCTCTCTCTCTCTCTCTTCGTATATATATACAAGAGATTACATAATCTTCTACTTCACACAATATTGTAGCTTGAAATCTAAAAGAGAAAATATTGGTTAGCTCATTAATATTTCAGCAAATTAATGGTTTTTTTTTTGTAGAGAAATTAAAACTTATAGCACTTAATGTCTCAAAATAATTAATTTCCGCACTGTTAAAGACAGGTAAAGAAAGGAGGAGATCATCCAGAGCATTTAAACTTTCACCCCCACCTTCGTACCTCTACTCCTGCCCAAGAACAGTGGTCAGAACCGTAAATTTCAGTAACGAGACGCGGACGCCCATTGTCATAATTCCACCCGATCCAAACCGGCCATCAGTAACTTCGCCGAAGCCCCACCCGATGGAGACTACGACACACCACCCTATCAGCACAACTTCTACAGCCGCCGCCGCTCCGGCCAAGCCAGAAACCTTCGGCGAAGTCCCCCATCCCCAAGTGGTAAGTTCACCGCCCACATGCACTGTTCAGAAGGAACCGACGCCAGTCCAGCGCGGCCCACCTCATTGCTACGTCATGTCGCCGTTGCCTAGGTGGGAAGAAAGGCCACGGCGGAGGGAGTATTTCAGTGGAGAGTACTATTACTATCCCACCCCTATTCGTGAGGGTATTTACAATATGGCTGCCGACCCTAATCGTCTCACGACCATATTCAGCGAGGAGAACCCAAATGCATGCACGATTGTATAAGGAGATGGATAATAAACTAAATCTCGCAATTATTTCTTTTTATTTTATTTTAGTTTCCTCCCATTTATTTTCTGAGTGCTTTTTATCTTCTATTTTGCTTTTATAGGAATCTGATCCCAAAGACCATAAGAAAATGTATTATTGTGGGGCTTGCGCGCATATTAGAAAGATGAAGACGCAATCAGTTTGTGCTTTCTATATGTAATTAATTCCAGAAGAAAGTGACACTATCCGCATTATTATTGACAACAATGGGATTTTTTATCTTCTTCAACCCATCACTGCTTAATAACTGCAGCAGCGCATCCCTATTATCAGTTAGTGAATTTTTAATAGAAAACATTAATTAGTTATCACACTAATGCGCTTTAGAAAAAATTCAAGAAAAAAACAAGGATGAAATATAACTAATAGTTTTTTAGTTTGGTCATTCCAAACCAAGGTCATTAAACTCATATTAGGCTTAAAAGAAGAATGGCAGCTAGGCTATTAAGGTGGGACTTCATTAATTAAATTAAATGGGCTCAAAATAATCAACTTATTTATGATTTTCATGCTACCATGTGAAGTGTAAGCAAGAAAAGACAGCACTCTCCTGTCCACCTAGCATCCACATCATCATGCCGTTATTTGGTTTCTTGTATCTAGTTTCTATATATACCCACTACTGTATTGAGTTAAATAAATGAAACTAAAATTTTCTTTAGCTTTTTCTTTTTGCTCTGTCTCTCTGGCCGTGATTCTACATGGTATCAGAGCACCTTTCCTCACCAGTAACGCTCCCCTTTCCCCGTCCCCTTTCTTCTTCAGGGCATCTTCCTCTCCTGTGTCTCCCCCATAGACGCCTCTTCAAACAGATCATCCCCTGATCACTCCACCACCGAAGATCAACCACCCTCCTCCCCTCCGACGATCCCGACGTCGGTCAAATTTCTAATGAGCAATATCAAGAATATCATCTCCTCGCCTCTCACTGCCGACAACCACCCCCTTTGGCGATCTCAAACCCTCAAATCACTACAGGAAAATCACCGATTTCCGGCGGAATTTTCTGGCGGCTTTCCGGCGGTCACATTTCCGGCGGCTTTCCGGCGCAATTCCGACGGTTTTTCTCCACGGAATTTTCCGGCGGAATTTCCGGCGGCTTTTTCATGTTTCCGGAGGCTATTAAAAATTTAATAAAATGAATAAAATTTTTACTATTTAAATGATTTAACAAAAAATTATTAAAACTTATATTAACAATTTAATTAATTTTCATTTTAAAATTAAATAGTTAGTTAATTTTTATTTTATATTAAATATTATTTTTTATTTTAAATAAAATAGATTCCTTTTTATAATTACAATTTTTTATTTACGGTTAGGGTATAGTTTAAATAAAAAAAATTGACAATATAATCACATTTAGACAAAATAGCAATCCGGTCGGTAGTCTGAGGTTCTTCCCAACTAACCCGCGTTCGATCCCACGGGCGCCCACTCGCACGTGAGGTGGCATTCACTGTAAGAATTTTTTATTTTTATTTTTTTAATTTGACCGCCGGAATAATTTGCCGCCGGTAAAAACCGCCGGAATTTATTTTCCTACGCCGTTTTTACCGGCGGAAAATTAACCGTCGGAAAACCGTCGAAAACTACAAAACCGCCGGAAAAGGTTCAATTTCCGCCGGAAATGGGTGATTTTCATGTAGTGAATTATTTCGGGTGAACGGTTATCACGGCTTTTTGGATGATACCTCTCCACCTCCATCAAGAACGACCACATCGTCAAACGACACGACAATACGAAACCCGCACTACACCACCTAGCATTTGCTAGATCAAAATCGAGCTGCAGCCTTATATTCTGTAATTTCACCGAGTATTTTACCTTACATACTCTCTGTCGACCATTGCTCTGAGATATGGTCCATTCTTGACTGCCGGCTTCAATCCAATATGAGCTCCCGAATACAACTACGTCATGAACTTCATTATCTAACCATGAAAGATAAGACGATGTCACAATATCTTCTTGACATCAAGAAAAAGGTTGATTCTCTCATCGCAACTGGAGCTCCCATCACCACGGAAGACATCATTCACTACACCTTGGACGGTCTTCCACCCACCTATCAAGCATTTAAGATGGCTATCCGCACAAACCACCAACTTTTGAACCTGGACGACCTCTATATGCTACTATGCAGCGAAGAACTCAATCTTGCTCATGAGATAACCCGAGAAATGCAGTGCCTTCAACTCTCTGGGAATGCAACGACTCTCACGGCAACACGTGGTTGCGGTTGTGGTCGATCAAATTTTGCTCGCGCTCGAAACTCCTCCTCTAACCGTTCCAACTCCAATAATCCCCGAGGAGGTAAAACATCAATATCCTTTGTCACTTGCCAAATCTACGGAAAGAACAGACACTCCACGGTTAAGTGCTGGCACCGCCAAGACAACGAGTACAACATTAAACAACTAACCGCAGCCCTTTTCACCTCTCCTTCGGCTCCCCCCCCTCCCCCCCCCCTCACTAAATGGTATCTGGATAGCGGAGCCTCCTCGCACTTGACGTCTGATCCAATACATCTTCATTCCGCTCAACCCTACACCGACTCCAACCAAGTCACACTTGGTAACGGTCAACAAATTCCCATTCACACCATCGGCAAAGGCATCCTACCCATACCTCAAGGTAGCCTAAAACTATCTCTTCTTAATCTTGTACCAAATATTTCCTTCAATCTACTATATATTTACAAACTCACCACTAATAATAATTATCTCATCACATTTTCTTCCCATGGTTATGAAATTAAAGACCAGAAGACACGCAAAACTCTTCTCACGGGTTCGTGTATTAACAGGCTATATCCCATTCAAGATCGATCTCCTAAGAACTCCGACATCTCTTAGTTCGCTCTCATCTCCATTCAGCCGATTCCTGATCTATGGCACACAGACTCGGACATCCCTCATCATCCACACTCTCTTATATGGCAAAACATTTTTTTATTATCTGTACTTCATCTTTCTCTCATTGTAACTCATGTAAAATGGCTAAAAGCCATCAATTACCCTTCAAAAAGTTTCAAAGCATTAGTTATGTACCATTTTACTTGATTCACTTTGATGTCTAGGAACCTTCCCCAACCATTTCTAATTACGGATATCTGTACTATGTTAGCTTTATAGATGACTTTTCAAAATACACATGGGTTTACCCTCTCAAACAAAAATTTGAAGTACTCAGCAAATTCCTAGAATTTTAGAAAATGATTGAACGCCAATTCAAGACTCACATTCATATAATCCGCACTGATGACAGAGGCGAATTTATCAACAACAAATTCAAATCATACCTAATCAACTAGGGTATAATTCATCAGTTTACATGTCCTTACTCGCCATCTCAAAGCGGCGTTACCGAATGAAAACATCGGCACATCACCGAAACTCTCCGCACTCTCCTTATCCTTGCTTCCCTTCCCTCATACCTATGGGTTGACACTCTCCTGACTGTCGTCCTTCTAATTAATCATCTACCCTCTCCCAACACCCATCATAAGTCACTATGGACCTCCGAAAGGACATTGGTTATGGGGTTCAAATGCAAAGGGTACGACCACACTCTCCTGTAGGATAAGACGATCATAGACCTTTATACTCGACATACATAGGCCAATGGGAGGGCAGATTAGATCGTGTATATGACTAACCATTGAGGATGGCGGCTCTCGCCAATGCACCCCGACGGGTAGTAATATGCAGACCTGATCAAGACAACGGGTTTCCCCCACCCGATATATCAGCTCAAATGAGGTTTAGTAGATGTGGGATTCAGTTTCCCACTAGCGCAAGCCCCCGTGGTTAATTACATCTCAGGCCGGAGCCCGAGAACACTCTCGATTAAGGATCATATATTATCCCTTCCAAAGTGAGATTGGCATGAGGGTGGAGACTAGGAAGTCCTACTCAAAAGGAAGAAAGGTCTCAAATGGATTAGTCAGCATGTGGGGTTCATACCAGCATTCGGAGGTCTAGGGTTACTAAGGAGAAACTGGAGAAAAGAAATTCAATCACTCGACACATGCGTGAGAGAAAGGTAGAAGTGGCATTATCCATGTGATGCGAATAAGTAGGATTTATAATCCATGAAAGGAAAGGTCCTACCCATTATTTAGGCGTACTATGAGATCGAATGTAGTAGTCATGATTCCTGAATCTAAATTAGGTTTAGTATTCTACGAGCAACAATAAGACTCGTGTCCTAGCTAATGTAGTACAAAACCATGACTTACCCCAGCTTGGATTGGAGAGCCAGCTAACCACCTAATCGACTTAAAACCATATAGTCTAGTCATTTTATAAAAGATGGGTGGATGATTTTAATTTTTGAAAGTTAAGGCCGATATTTAGAAAGCTCATAAGTGGCTTTGGACTTATGTTGGGTGAATGTGCTTAACTAATATAATTAAAATTTTATTTTAGTTAATTTTTTATGCAATGCATACTAGTTGAATAGGCTAAATCAATTATACTTGAGATTAAAAAAAAACAGGCTTATTATAAAATAAATATTAGAAGGATAGTAGACTTCCCCAAGTCTGGCACCTCATCATCATAATCCAGATTATTCGAACTCTACCCGTAGGCGAGGAAGTGTCTCATAGCAAGGGAGGAGAAGAAATGCAATAATATACATGTGACCCCGGATGATTCCGACAATTTTCTAGATTAATTAAGTTTCTATGTTATTTAAATCTTAAAATTTTAAGTATTAATTATGATTACAAGAATTTTATAGTCTTTAAAGAGCATACTAAAATTGAGACTGAAATAAAAGAGGCATGTAATCTCCAAAAAATTAAGAAAATTAAGTAACCCTAAAGGCACACATTATAAGTAAAACACATCAGAATTAATCAAACAAATTAAGTAAATGTTCATAGGCCAACTGCCCTTAATTATAACCCAGGGTCTGCAAAAAATAAAGTGGTCGGACACCACTACCAATCACCCGGATTTCTAATTCTATGACTAACACAAATGACTTTGAGTGGGATATTAGGTATTCAGGTCTTCAGTCTTCTCTTGATTTCTTCTCTTGGGACTCTTTGGAACTCTTCTCCTTGGACTCATTGGATTTCTCTTCCTTGGACTCCTTGGATATCCTCTCCTTGGGCTTCTTGGATTCGTTGTGGCTTGAATATCCAAACAAAGAGACAATCTCCCCTAAAAAGGGGGTATTGCCTTTTCTCTTT